CTTTGAACTACGCTAGGCATACTCCACAATATTTCACAATGATCATGGCATCCCCTAATAAGTACCGTGCAGTGAAACTGTTTGGGGAGCCCCTCTCCAGACTGCTCTTTGTCACCACCACGTTGGGCTGCGACTGAACAGCTGCGAACTACCTACACTTCTAGAATTGCCCCAGAAGCCTTCAAGAAAGCTACCAATATAAGCACCGAGTCAATAAGGTTGATTCTTTTTCAGGAACTGCGGGTATCCGCAAATGCGACAGTTGCCTCACCGCTTGCGTGGTTCGATTTTTGTTGAGGGACGTACTCTTATAGTGTATACCTGGCACTCATGAATCGATTGTGGCCAGCACTGGCCAGGCTAGTACATCGATAAGCGCCGTGGCCTCTCCTCAGCTGCTTGGAAACTGACTGGCATTTGCCTTTCCCTGCTCTGGTTGATGACCCCATAGCGTTGTCGAGGCCGGCAGGGATTCCCCTCTTGCTTTTGTGCATCAGGGCGTATCCTGATTGTCTCCATTTTCCAGCTCAGCTGGGCCGGGGTCCCAGTCGACCCAGAATCATCTCCCGTCACTCCTTGAAGATCCTTGAAGCCATATGCCTATACCCTCGATCTCTGACATTTTGCGAACAAGAATGTGAAACATGTCTCGCCCAAATAAGTCAGAGCCAAGTCTCCAAGTTAGTGGGAAGGTTGGCTGAAGCCAGCGGGTCGTCTTGCTCTTTTTCTTCGGCTGGTGGCCTGGCATGTAATTACGATTTATGGTTGGTTCTTTTGCGCGCTTCAGGCAGGGATTCTGAAACTTACATGGGATTGGGGGTTTCATAGATTTCGGGATCAGGGGTCTGGGGCCTGGGGGTTTAACTACACGGCTTCTCTACATTGAGGCCTGTGGCGTTGCCGTGGAAAACGGCTTGCAATAAGCGTGTCTGGGCTCAGTGCCATTCGCGCATGGGACGCGAACATGGGTTTTGGAATGGCTTTGCTCCGTCCCCGGAGCTGCTTCCAAGTCGGTGGGAATCTCCAGGCGTCAGACGTTTTGGATAGGCTTTCTCGCCGCATGCATTAAGGCACAGAGCAAGTCTTCCGGATCTTTGCGCGACAGTCCATATATGTTGTTTTGAGGCATTGCAATCAGCATTCAAAGTGGATGGATATAAGGCAGTCAGGGTGGAAACAAACACTGTTCAGCCAAAAGCCCAGCGCCAACGATTTTTATGCGAACTTACCTGTAACAGCTCGCAATGGGTCCAGGTTGCCTGCGAGGTTTGTGGAAGGCGGCATTGCCAATTGGCGCTCTCGAATCTGTAATCCCCACATGCTTTTCTCCCAGGGCCCCTCACATCAGAAACCCCCACATGTTTAAATGCATTGAAAGGCTAACATGGCACATGTAGCTATGACACATTCGTCGCGCTGCCTTTTGTGATTTGTGCTGTGGTTAGAGCAAGATCAGTTGGAAGTCAAATTTGTAAGCTACTTGAACACGCAGGACCCCGGCCCTCCTCACCCGAAGCATGCTTTAGCTTTCAGATTTCAATCCGTTAGGACAGAGAGCAAGTCTCATCCATCTTAGGACAGGGCCTCGCTGGTTCTGGCTCGGGCGCGGCGACCTTCTTGGTGGAAGCCCTGCGCCAAAGATAACTGAATCAGAAGATTGTTCTCTCTCTCTCTCTCTCTCTCTCTGTGCCGAAGATTGTAATATGTTGATCAATTTTGCGCCTTGGGCTTGGGTGTTTAGAAATTTGGGTTTCGGGTTGGCAGGCTTTAGCGCAAACTGAAGCTATGTTTTCTTGCGAAGATCAAACCCGTTGCAGCACATCTCAAAGCACGGACATGCACATATGCCAAAGCAGTGGGACTTCAGGACACGAGCCCGACATGCTAAGGGAGTTGCTGAGGACAATCCGCGGAAGTCAACGTACCGTGGGGAGTACCCCTGTTCCGACGCTGTGTCTTTCACACCTAGTTCAGCCTTGGGGAAGCTTGTTAAAATCAAATCCTACAAGCACATGAGGCACGTCAACAACTTTTTAGTGAGGGGGGTTGAGTAGGTACACAACTCACACCAGCATAGATTGACCTCCACCCGTGCTGCAGCTCAACTGCCCTGCTGGCATGGTTAGCCTGGTCATGCTGGGCGAGAATATGGTCGAGTCCTTGCCACCTCAGTCTCCGAAGGTTGGGGTTCTCGATTCTTACTGTTCACATGGAAGTCGCTCAATCTCCTCATTCGTTACACCCACCCTATGAAATGGTTTACGTTAGTAAAACGCGTGCATACACCAGCTCCTCTAAGACTCTAAGAAAAAAGGCATCATGAGCTAAGGGTTGCTGGGGCTCAGATTGCTTAGCTGGGTGGGCTGTGGTAGACCACGCGATCGCTGAAGAGCATGCTGCCTGCCCGGCATACATTGCAAACGTGCTTTGAAGCGCGCAGAGGTCCCCCTCAAGGAGCTGCTTTTGTGGACCTGGCCAAATATGTCCCTGTCCAATGAAGCGCCAAGGGCCATGCTTTCGGAATGCTCGGCGAGGATGATTTTCAGCTGATCCTGTCATATGGAAAGAGCATGGGCCATAGGAGTTCCAGGTGCAGGATCCAATGCTTGAGGTGTAGTTTCTCGTGGCAAGCACGGAGGATTGTGCATACATGTGAGACCTGAAAGTGCGCACCTGCCATAAGCATCCTGATTGCATTTTTCGGAGTCTTACTAGATTGAAACACACGCAACCGCAGGCGTCATGGCTGCTGAGGCCATACCATGTTTTCTCCAAACAGTGGAAATGATAGATTTCTGGGTTTACAGGGCAACAGCCGGGCTCCCTTTAGGATTACGCAGGTTGTTTGGAACAGCTGTCACATGTCTCTGCAAGGACATGAGGACGTATAGGGAGTGCAGGGACACAAGCTGTTCTTCTGTTACCCTTGCGAACCTTCGGTGAAGCAGTCCCGATTCGAAAAGCCCGTACGACTCCAATAAAAACAATGTGGATCCTGCAAACTTGCAACACACCTAGATGGAAATACTTTGGCAGCAACTACAACACGTTGAGTGCTGTGCCAATCACGCTCATAATGGATACGAATCGAATAGATTGCAAGATCTCCCGCGTTGAGCGCATGTTTCTCCACTTCCTGCGGTCTTTGAGGTGTCGGGTCAGACCGAGGGGACGTCTCGCCGACTTTGGACCTCTGCCCGTCACCCATCTGCTCAAGAAATGCCACGTCTGCCAATGATTGTGCCAGTCTCTCATCCTGAATGATACACGCATAAGCCAACATTACTCACTTATTGGTAGCTTCATTAATTCATGCAAGCGAAATAAATCACTAGCAACGCTTTCCCTTCACGACTTCTCTGCGTACTTGCGACAAAAGATGACCCAACTTGCCTACTTGTCAGGTCTGATATCCGGGCTCGCATATGCTTACTTGTGGATAATAAGCGAGAAGGAATGTGTGGTATGGTGGCAGGGACTATTGAACAATGAAAGGGCACCCGTAAGCATGGGTAAGGGCAGCCGGCCAAGCGAGGCGGAGCAAAAGAAGCTCGCACTAAGATCTCACAGGGGGGCCATGCGGAGGGGACGCCAGTTCACAAACACCACAACAAGCCCCAAACATATGCACCCCTTTCTGTGTGCTTTCTTAAGCAGTTCTCCTCTGGAGGCCCTCGAAAAAACGGAAGCAGGAAAATGAGCAGTTGCCTTGCAGATTCTGCAGGCTGGGGCTGCTGCTTCCTCCATCTGATCACTTTGTGGACAACTAGTCTACAGTAGCAGAACATATCAAAACAATGGTCTGGTTCAGGCTATCGGGCCTCCTAAGAAGCCCCAGGTTCTGTCAAGATCCTTGTGGTTTATCATGGGCTTCCGGTTGGAAGGTTGCCAACCAAAATCAGAAAATGTATACGACCTAGCGAGGAAGTTCCTGAAACTGGGATAGCACCTGAAAGCTCCCGTCTTATTCCACTATGATCCCGACTCCAGAGTGGAGTGGCGCTGGGTCTTGTAAGATTCGGTCGCCAAGCATGCCCAAATCTTAGCCCATTTCATCTTTCCAGGGTTTTGGCTGACGTGTGAGGATTTCCCTGAGGTACGGCTGCACCCCCAATATCGTGCTAGAACCAATCCCCAAGTGTGGCGACCTAAATATGAGAGCACAACCAAACACATGCAGGGAAATCCCCGCGTACATCATGTCTGAAAATTGATAGCTGGACGCTGAGCTGTCTGCTGCCATCTCGGAAGTTAAGCAGGCTCCAACACTTTCTTCACTTGATTCTGCGCGACAAAGGAGTACAGACCTTAGGAGCTGCTGCATTGACCAAACTGTTGTGCATGGGGCATTCCCGAACTGATTTCTGTCCTTATTCGACATAGTCATACCCGGGTTCTCAAACTGTGGCATGACAGCTTGTGGAGAAACTCCCTTTTCCATATCTCGATTTTCAGACCTGCTTGCGCGCGGGTTCTACTTTGATGGGCCTTGTAGTTTCTAAGGATTTTGGATACTCCTTGCAAGGCTTGCGATAGGGTTGGGTTTCTATGGAATGACTATAAAAGAATCTGCCCTGGAGTCCGATTCGCGCAGGCTTCCGCCAACATTCATCTGCCGGAATACGGTCATAGTCATAGGGGCAAAATTGCACAGTCCTCTGTAAGCTGAAGGGTCGGTCTTGCTAAGAGCATGCAAGAGATATCTACGCCGCAGTTAGCAGTTTGCAGACTTACCAAAATAGGGAACACTATAAATGTGGCCAACAGCAGAGGTCCTGTGCTAACCCCGGATCAGTCATGCTGAGTCGGCTCGTAGAACTATTGCAACACTATTGAAGCCTGCCGAGATGTGAATAGCGTGCTCTGCTGATATGTTTCCAGAAACTAGGGAGAAGCCTCAACATACTATTTCTAACAAACATGCCAGGATTTGGGTAATCATTAATTCCCAACCCCGAGGACTCCTCGGACAAGGATGCCCAACAAGGGAGCATGTACTTCTACCTCCTGACTTCTATGCTTATGCTATATGCGGACTGATAGCTCTGCAGCTTCTCGTCGATCGACTTTCCAGACTCCTGCCACAAGGGGAGTGAAACCCAATTGGCCTTGAGTTTCTTCTCCAAATTGTGGTCATTGTTTATATATAGAGTCCAGAGGCTAGGCCCCGGCATGACCTAACATGAAAGTTCAATAATTGTTCTGATTAATATTGTTCTGCATGAGGGTCACTCAGGTAGGACGTGTCGTCCATTTGGGGGATTCTCTGTGGATACTTAGTCGCAAGTTCCTGGCTTCTACCTGCTGTATCTGAAGCACGTGGAAGTTCGACGTATGAATTGCAGTACCCACCCAACCTGTGTAATCCGCCTAGACCACCTCCAAGCCCGGAGCCTAAGCCCAAAACCGTTCAAGCCTCCTTCTCGCGGAGGGCTCGCATGGTTTCGCCGAACTGCGGCTCGTCTAGCACGCGGCGAATGGCTGTTGCCAGCGACTCCGGGGACCTGAGGTGCATCAGCGTGCCTATGGAGTGTGGCATCATGTCTCAAAGGAATAATGACGGAATGCGACTGCTAGCCACTCGCCCCAATGCTAGTACGGTCCACAGAGCTTTGCGCTCAGGATCTCCAACTTCAATCTGAGGGGCTTGGAGATTCAGGGCCTGGAGTTCATCAGACTACATGAGAGGCCATGCCAAAAAGTCTGCAGATCCAAGGACGGTTCAAAGTTCAAAGGGCGTGAGGAGGGCAATGAAAGCCACAGGGACCGGCTTTGCTGGATGCTTGTCATCCTTTCCCTGCTTTGATCACTTACTAGTCCGCCGCCATCGGACCTGTGCTTGAAACTCACTCGGGCTTTGATGAAGGTTGAAGCCGGACTTTGTGTTTGGCTACAGTGCTCAATTTGGCTAAGCCGCACTCTTGGCACTCTTGGTCCTGAAGAACAGCTGGTCATTAAGTATGCCTCTGAAAAGAGACCCTGGCTAGCGCCCTTGAGAAAGCTATTCCTGCAAGGCGACTGCGACCCACAAAAGGAATGCCGGCACCCGTGTGGCAGCGCAGCTAACAAAGCTTCATTCAACTCCACCGAAGAAGAGACCCTGACATTTCTGAAAATCGTAGGGGTTTAAAGCTTCAACTCTGTCATTTCCCAGCATTGTCTTCTTGCGGTCCTCCATGTTTCGCCAAGTCGCACTCGATCTAGCTCAGGTCGGAAAACTTTATCAGAAGCCGATGGAGGGACATCGACGTAGGATTGCCTCGGGAGTCACGGCGACTATGCTGCCATGCTGGACAGCCTGTGTTTTACTAGGGGCCAATGGTCAGCACCCTTGACATCTTCACACATTGCTCAAGGCTGAATCCTTGACAGGGAACCGGACGGGTATTTGCCTTTCCTTGCTGATGCTCCCAAGGGAAATCAGTTTGTGCATATGAATCGCACCTCCAATTTGGGGACCTGCACTGCTTCAGACAGGAACGCCCGGCTAGAAGAAACTGGCCCCCGAACAACTCCAAATCCTGAACATATATCCAGTCGCAAAAGCCCACAGCCCAGCGCAATGAAGCGCTGCGCATTCAAGGGCTGGTCTCCAAAAAACGGCATGGCTACCACAGGGACACCTGAGAGTCAAGGTTTACTCATAATTCCAGGGGATTACTTTTAAGGCTCAAGGCTCAACCATTCACATTCATGATCCGTTGGCCTAGGGTCCAGGGTTTGGCGGGGTTGAGGGATCCAGGGTTCAGCTTCAAGTTTTAGCAAAGATGAGTTCAAAGTCTACATGTTCAACGTTTTCGTGAATCCAAGCTTCCCATATATTCCTCAGAATATGCATATCTTCTCTGACGAGCCAGATTTCTCCGACCAGTTGAGCGTTTTTATCGCCACTTCCAGAGGCCCTCAAAACCATTTTAGCACATCCCTTTTCTTTATATCAGGCCCTGGAAGGGACGGAAAAGCTACGGCTCGTCGGTTGGGATTTCCTGCCTTGCCCTTGACGATTTGAGCTTAGGTCAACTGAGTCACGGGACCCTAAAGCCTTCAAAACAAAATGCCAAATCTGTACCATTGGCTCGGACTGCCAAAGCAAAAGAAAATGACAAGAAATGTTTGGGTTTTGGGTTTGAGCAGATGGCTTTGAGGTGGAATTTGGGCCTGAGGGCTCGCTCACCTTAATCGTCTCATAAAGACCCTGACCGAAGGGGTTCACGGAGGCCCCTGGGTGTAGTCACATCGGCTGTTACGGGCTGCAACTGCCGTTCAAGAATAGGTTTCGCAGTCACTCCAGGATACTGCAGTAGACGCTACGCGCTACCAGCAGGTTCGTGGGCAGTTCCAAGTAGGGTTATAGGTTGCAGGTAATGCGATTGGGATTACAATTGAACACGCTTGTAGCCATCCTACTTCCTACCAGGTGATAAATAATTATCCATAAGACTCTATCCTGTAAACGGCAAGCCCGATCCAAGCCTGCCAGGACCGCTTCGCTGGAGCTGTTTTGACCACAGTGCCTCAAGAGTTCAAGATCCACTGAGATCTCATGAGTTCTCAGAATTTAGAGTTCGGGTGGAGTCGCATATGGAGGGTTTAGGCATGCTTGAACAGATGGCTCCTGCGAGAGTAACACCAATCTAGAACAGCGGTTGGGACCTGAACGCTGAGGTGGAAAAGAAGTGAGGACCGCATTTCAACGTCTGTGCCTGCCTGCCTGCCCGCCTGCTTGCCTGAGACTGGCTCGTTGCTAACTGTAAGGGCTGCCCACACCTATCCAAGCCTGCAGCGTCCGTACACCCATTTCACGGCGATCCACTTTGTCGTATGGGAATTTGTCAAACTACGGGTCTTCAAAAAGCCGCAACATGCAATCATTCTCGTTAAGTGGACCCTGGAAGGGGGGCATGACTGACTTTGAACAACCATCTGAGCAATATTTGCACATCATGGAGAGCCCTGGCAAGCCATCGTCGAGGCTCGTCACGAATGCTTCAGCCTTTTGAAGAAGTGCCAGCTGGTCCAAGCTCCTTCTTGGAGAGGTGTTAAGGTTACTAAGCGGCTCGAGGAACTCTCTCAGCGCTATAATTCTGCTACCAAACAAAACACCCCACCCCCGAATCCAACAAAAAGATGTCGTCTGGGTGGTCAGCTCAGGTGAGGGCCTAGGTCTAGGAGAGAAGCCGCCTGACAGCTGAAGGTCTCCCTAACTTCCGAACAAGCGGGGCCTGTTTTCGGCAACCGAAACAAGGGCAAACATGTTTCACTTTTTCAGGGGACGGTAGTTTCCAGAAATACCCATGTATGGGTAGATGAATGGCTTTGTGACTTTTAAAGCACACCGGGGATGACTTGTGGTCTCTTTGCAAGGTAGGAAAAGAAAATAAATGATCCCTCCTAGACGGAATGCCATTAATACACGAACCAAAAACAGAATTCAACGCTCTGTTGAAAGCCTTTCTTGTATAGGAGTACGCGTGCTACAAAGTCCATACACCGTCTGAAACCATTGGCAAAGCCCCAAAAAACCAACCACTCCGGAACAGTCCTGGCAACAACAACGTTGCCTGGCACCGCCTCCCCGAAAAGGTGCGTCACGCGGCCGCCTTCCTGCACTATTCAGGTTAGGGTTTGGGGTTCGGGATTCAGAGGGGCCAGGGTTCAGGTGCTACAGGCGCCTATATACTTGGACTAGGATTCCAAGGTATACTTGCGCTGACCACGCTATCCTTGTGATATGAACATCAAGAAGCCTTGCCCGCGATTCATTCTCGCAAGTCGCAAGGTGCAACCAAGCTTGGCACCGCTATTTGTTCGGAAGCATCGATAAGGACTTGCAGCCACTTGCAGGATGGGTGGGAAGGTTTTGCAAGTATGGGTCTTTTGTTGGCTTTACAAGGCTTAACGGGCTGGGTTAGCTTTAGATGCTCAGCGTGCAGCACAACATGAAGCTTGCATGCTGCAGTCAAAAAAGAGCGCGTGTAGTGGGTGGAGGCGCTTGTGGTGTAGCACCGCTAATTAGGAGTCTGAATATTTCACTCAACAACATCTGTCAGTTCCCAGGTGAAGCTCCCCTGGGACAACAGGCATTCCATCAAAGTAACGTGGTACTTACTCAGCACAGGGGCACAACAAAACGAGTCGTGACCTTTAGAAACGCTGAACCCGAAACACTTCCTCATGCCCGTAGCCCATGTAAAGGCCAACAGTACAATGCCCATGAACTGAAAAGGCCCCATAACACCAAGAAAACCTGGGGTCTGCAGCGGCCTCCACAAGATCTGCACTCTTTCCAGCCGATACCACCTGCGAGCATGCAATGTGGGAGTTGTCCGAGCTTGCTTTCAGGGGGAACATGTAGGACCTCGCAAAGCTTCTATGCTATCAATGTTTGGATCATGGGGTTGACATGTTTGCTGGCGAGGACATGCTCTATCCAGGGATCAACGTAGGATATCAGGCAGCTGCAGCTCGCAAGAGGATAAGTCGGATAAGTGAACTGTTGGGGTGCAGGCGGTCTATGCAGATGACACAAGCCAGTCAAGACTGTGCACACGAATGACCGCAAGCCCGTGCACAAAGTCTTCTCGCCAGGCGATACATACAGTCCGGAACCCGATCGTCTTGCCCCGGATCAATGGCACTAAATTCTTTGTCATACCACCTTCTGATCCAGGGCAAATTCTGAACAAAAATGCAAACTACGAAATCTGACCTCATGGCCCTGTAAGGACTTACTGAGTCAAGCAGACAGATTTCCACCTTAATCGGCTTCCTGAAAGCCCTGAGCTCCAAACGTCGCAGTTCTGAAGCAAAGTTAGTTTTGCCCACAACTAGGACCCTTACACATGCTAGAATCCAGGAGCCTACACCCTCAGCCCTCAACATTGTACCGAAAAAAACCTGGAAAAGCCCCAGGCCCTAAACATCCCTAAGCCCTGCGGTCCTAGCACTGCGAGGCCTTCTGAAGGATTCAAAAATTATAGGGGACCCTTATCCCACCACCACTCCATGTCAGGCCAGCTGGCCAACTTCACATCAGGCATCTCCTTCTCGAGCAGCACAGCCGCTCGGCAGAGCTTATGAAAGAAATCCACCACAGCCTAAGATGATGAGGTTGTTCAGTCTCCCAGGCTTTAATATGAGGACTCTATGAAGTCGTCTTTCTTCGGGAGGGATCCTTCTTTCCTCCTCAAGGAGGCATGATCTGAAGGCTCTAGGCAGGTTTAGTGAAGGGGTTTGGGGTTTTAGGGCTTGCGTTCTCCAACCAAATATGGAACCCCAATAGGTCTTCCTTTGTTGAAGCCAGAGCAGCAGATCCGAATTTTCCGAATGCATCGCCGGTGGCAATGGTGCCGAGCGAACACAGCCTGAATCCCAGAGTGGCGAGTGTAGGTGTCCTATCATTCGACTGTCTGGCTTTCCTAGCGACGTAGATCCCGGTGTTCCGGTGTCTGTACGAGGAAGGACTCTCACTCTGAAAAACGCTTTTGCAGACAAACACTTTTGCAAACTACTACAGTTTGCCTCTGAGATCGGGATAAACAGGGTGAACTCGCCCAGCAGAAGCAGAGGAACTACCCGTGAGAGGCCTGGATAGAAGTAGCCGCTACCACATCCACATGCCCAGAGAAAACTCCAGAACGCTCCTGCTCGTTGCACCATCCCATCTACACCCCCCTTCGCTGCAACACAAACACAAAAGGACATGCATATTTCTAACAAGGCCTACCTACCAGTAATCTCAAATTCTGAACCCCTAACTCAGACGAGCTGAAGCTGCCAAGCGGCACTAAACGTCCTGAGCTTTCACTGAGGGCCTGGGAGACGGCATCTGTGCCGGGCCTGGGTAGCCGGAGTAGGGCGAGGGTCTCAGGCCTTGGACAAGCAACCTTGCTCTTCCGTAGCGCGGATGGGATGCACAGCACCAGATTTTTTCTTTTTTAAAAAAGCATGCGCCACGAATAGCTTCTGTGCGGGAGGTCTTGAACAGCAAGCTTGCTTTCATCCAAAATACAATGTCCATAATGTGCCCGGAGCAGTCCGGGCATCAGACCATGAAGAGTGACGTGTAATTGACTCCAATAGGAAAAACATTCCTTGGCCGGGAATTTGGCCGCATGGCAGTAGCAACGATCATGAGAACTTTGCAAGCATAAGCCATCATCTTGGTGCAGCCAAGATGGCCCAGCTGCAACACCCTTTCGCTGCGAGGTCAACGGCCCCCAGTCTAGGTTCCGGCTTCAGGCTCGGGAGTCAGAGGTTAGCGGGCCTGCCTAAGAGATCTTAGGTGCCCTGCCTAGATCATGCCTGAAGAAAGAAGTCTCACTGTCAGGTCCCTTTGGGTCGAAGGAGGTTGAAGGGCTTCGGGTTTCAGAGCTCAGGGCGCCGTCAGATAATGTTTACGAGCTGTCAAGAGCTGGCGGATTTTCTTCGCTTCTTCGAGCCCAGGGTGAACTGGTTGCGCGGTATGGGCGCTTGGTTTAACAGCCGTTAGCGTGACAGGCTCGAGTTTCGGATGCGCAGCACCTATTCAAACATCACTCCAAATGATGCCATTTTGCTGCAGGATTCTGTGCTACATCCTGACATCCTTTTTTGCAGGGGACTTTGGCATTTGCCTGCAAGCAATTCTTGCATCACAGAAGCTCCGAAGAAGCTAGAGAACTAAATCGTAAACAAACTACGGCTCAAACGACTCCAAAAAGCCAAGACCTTCACCCCTTTATTTCCACACCCCTGGCATCTATTGCAGATAAGACGCAATGAAATTGTTGGGGTGGGAAGTCAGCGCTCTGCTCATGCCAGTAGCGTGAACACCAGACTATGGTGTAGTCGCTGTAGCCTTGTGGGGGAACATGTGAGGCCTTAAGCCTTGGGATTTGTATTTTGCATGGTTCGGGAAGAACACCTCAGCAGAATATGTACGGGGATAGACCGACTTCGCTTATCGGGTTATCTGTCCATTCTAAGCAATGTAAAGATGCACAACCATCTCAGTATTCTAAGTGCACTTGTCCATCTTGCATTGATGACGAGTTTGCCCAGCTGAGTAGGAGCTTGGTGTTTCTAAAGCAATCTCTGCCTTTGTCCGGCTACCACACCGCAGGTCCCTATGTGGGGCATCGGCTTTCCCCAGCGCATCACAACATTTTGGGAAGCCTGACCCTATCGCTGACATAGGACAGTAACAGGGTGCCTCAGAAAGAGTTTCCACATCAGAGACCTGAAGATAACACAGACAGCACAGCGCTGTTTCCTACTCGCTATAGGCGCGATGACATTCTCACTACGTTGTATCACTCGAATGCAGCCCAGGCGTCAGGTGTAGGCATAGTTGTGGTTGAAGGTGAGCGCATATCTGGATTCAAGCGCGGCGCATGTGGCCTGCATCAGAGATAGCATAGCAGGACTAAGCCAACGCACGTCAAGGCTGGCTCGCAGTACGACATCTCAAAGAGTTTCACTACTGCGGAGCAGTGCTATAGAGGCAACCTTCCCTTGCTAGCAGCTAGCACAAAGCACTACACGATGACCCAAAGTCTTGCCACAGTCCCTGATCCCTCGAGCCAAGCCACTACACACTATGAAACTTGCAGCCCATCATTATTTATGAAATCCATCATACGTTGGGCCCGGTCACATCCAGCAGCTTTTTTCCCGGCTCCGAGCGCTTGCCTTAGAAAGAGTTCAAAGCTTCAGGATCGGGAGATGTGGGCTGAGGCGCCTGAGGGAGCAAGTGCCCATTCCAGGGTATGGCAGGGTCACCAAAGCGTCGACAGGTGCTACTCCCGCCGCTGCTGCTGCTGCCGCCCCCTTTCCTACACTCCTTTACCACCCCATTCAGAAAAGCTGGGCACTGCCACTGAGTGGATGTTTCCGAAGTTTTGAACTCCACGAAGCCTGAAGCGCTTCTGCTTGATGCTGTCGAGACCACCTTCGCCACCTTTTCTGCAACTGGACAGCGAGGATGCTGACCCCTAAATGCCTGGATTGCCGACTCTTCCATGCAAAGCCCTACACATTCAAGCCAAGCTAGAAGTCCCGCCCCCAAAATCCCCTATTCCCAAATCGAACATTCCACCCTGCCCACAACAGCTGAAACCAATCCCAAACACCTTCTATCTGATGTCCTGCATGCGTGCAACCTAAACTCAAAGCCTTCATCCTCCTTGAGCGCGCTGCCAACCACCCAAAGGCAAGCACATCCTGGCTTAGGCTGTTGCTGCTCTCCTGTTCTCGCTCATCCATGGGCATCGGCAAGGCGGACATAGAGCTCCTGAACAATTTGTAGTCTGAAGCATGTGACTCCTCCGTACAGCATGAAACAAGCCCTGGGATGAAGACATTTCGACGATGCGGGGCTTGGGAGTCTGCTTTTTGGGAACTCCCATGCGCTTGCTGTGCTCCATGGTTGTTTCGAGCTACGAAGCTATCTCACATGTCCAGGTGCTTTCCACTACCGCAATACCTACTCTCAAACTTGGTGCGTGGCTCAATTTCGCATGCTCATATCTGACCATGCTTTCGCTTGGCGAAAGCAGGGCTTCTTGCAGCCAGGCTGCTCTTAAATTGGCTCAACAACACACCCTGTAGCATTGAGAATTACATGGCCTTCAGAGGGTAGTGTAGCTCAGCTAGTTCAAGCCAAAAGAACCAGAGTGCCACAACACAACTAGCGCCAAACCTCCAGAGAATGACCGCAAACGCCTCAAAACCCTGGTCTTCGTGCACGCAAGTTGCACAGCAGGGATGCCAAGATGTTGAGCAAGGAGGTAGCCATACCTAGCTCATCAGGTATTCCCTTTGGGCTTTTGCATGGTAGGGTGTGAGTCCAGGATTGCTGGCTGAACCTCTACAAAATGGAATCAGGATGAGGCAAGTTTGCATAGACCTAATCGGTTTTCATTCCCACTCAGCCACATGCGGTCCAAACACCATGCTCCAAGGAAGCTGGCATATGCCTACGCTTCATTTCCTTAACGATGACTACTGTCAGCGGCAGTTAAGATGCCTTACCACAAATACGCAACAAGATGGTTTCAGTCTTACAGTTTATACGAGCACTGAAGACAAGGAATCTGGCCATCTTCATCCTCGCATCATGAGAACAGACACATCTTCTTTTCACCCAGTAACGGCGCGGCCGCATCAAAGGCGATGAAGCTGGGTTGCAGCTCGGACATTTCTGGGCGCAGTTGTTGCTGAGAATGAGGCTCAAGTTGGGGGGCCCCTTAACCTGGAATGTGGGGGCAGCGGCATAAAGGCTTTGGAGTTCAGAGGCTTATCACAAGTGAGCTTGTACGAAGATTTTTCCGGCAGGGGTGCTTCATTGGTTGATGATCTTGGCCCAAGGGTATTCAGGATGGTTCGTGAGGCACTCTGACCCCCAAGGGTTCCAAACTATCTCGGTATAGCTGCTGACATTTGCATACACCTCATTATTGCAAACCATGTCCCAAACTGATCTCTCATAGGATCACAGTGACCTGTCTCTACTATGACTATCTCATGTGCATGTGAGATCTTTCCTACCGCGCCTACTCATACATAGTGCCGTTCATGTTCATAATCCTCCTGGACATCCTCTGTAAGAACTGTTAATGCTTGTGGTCCCATGTCATGCCAAGTGAGTGGATTGCCTGCAATATTCGATACAGTCCCCATGCCTTGACGAAACGACCAATGCCAGCCACATGGAGGTGCTGATTCATGTCTTAGGCACAGAGGATGGCATTAGACTTGGAGGGTGACGGAAGCTGTATATCCATGTGAACGCTGACCGGGCTTTCTAAGCTGAATGACCAGGCGCCATCTTGTAGACGTTCCCACTTTGTCATGCGACCAGGCCGCTAGAGACCAGGTAAGGAAAGATGTCCAAGGTGGCCGGCACAACCGCGAAAGGCATGATCTTCTGTGGAGTCTTGGCTGTACTGCTGCTCAAGAATGCAGATAGCAACAATCGTGCTTTCAATAACCGGTGAAACTTCGAGCCCGGCCAAACAAGGCCAACTCCGGTCAAACGGAAATCACAAGACAGGAACACTTAGTAGAACATTGTTTTCCATAACCTTAGCTGTGCTGAATATTTTTTCTCTTGAAATGCGCGAGAAGTACCTGCAAGTCAAAGCAATGCAGCAAGCGACGATCTCCATCGGAATCTCCAAGCCAAGCTCTGTACAGGCACGTGTTGCTCCCTCGTACAGATCCCAGTCTTCTGTGCCATAATGACACCACGTGGCTCCTGTGGGTTGGGGTTTTTCGCGCTCCTCCAAGCGGAGCTTCGCATGTGTTACGGCTGGAGCAGACTTGAAACGGGGAGGCTCAGGTCTGTTCAACTCTGTTTTAGAAGGCAATGTATGAGGATTTTAGCGCCAGGGTCTGGAGTCCTGCGCCTCCGTCTTTCCCAATTACTTGCCCTGAAGCTCCCAAAATCATCCATAGACAGGTTCTGTGCAACCACGTACTACACAGTCTGCCTACTGTCTGCTGGCCACCCAAGCCATGAACATTGCAAGCATCTTCCCGTTTCTCACAATGTCAGGATACAACTTGAACTCTCAACTCTTCGTAAGGGCTGGAACCTAAACCCTGCATGTTCGTAAGGATGCTCGACCACATATCCCCAAATCGACGTATTCCGATGTTCATTTTATAGACATACGGTAAGAGGAATGCATTACCTGAATCCCCAGTGACTGCTGGTGTGTAAGACCACGGTGTAGAGTTGCGGGCTTGTAGGACTTGGGACTAAGGGTTTAGGGTTTAGGGGGTCTCCCAGTCCTACGCCTTCCACCTGTGTGCGCTTGGACTCGGGCACGAAGAAGGAGACCTGCCAGCCTTCAGCTGTCAAGGACCTTTGCTTGGTTCATTGGCTGAGATGCAACAAAATCGCAATAGCAGCTGAGAATCAAAAGAAGCCAAGCACATGAGGGAAAAGCCCTTGTAAGCCCGCAAGTCTACTTCACACTAAAAGAATAAAGAATAGCGTGACAATAAGAAGTTCAGGGCTCTCATTCCTTGTGTTTTTGCATCAGGTGCAAACGGAATATACTTAACTTGGTTTTCCAGGGTTGGTGCTCTGGCTTCATCACCAAGGAAAACACCTCAAACCTGAACATGTAGAACGCTGTAACCCCCATGCAAGACCAGCACAAATGTGATTTACAGTACTGGATGCTTCCAGGAAAGACAGCATGCAGTTTGATGACCGTAGCCGGCAGTATGCCGCCGCTTTCTGACTGGAACTGAGTAGCATCGAGGAACAGGGGTTTAGGCCGGTTTATTCTGAATATGGATGATAATCAGGCTTCTACTGTCAGGAAAGGCTGGGTATGAGGGAAGAGAGCCCATGGATCCCTTGCAAACCTCGCGAATTTGAAGCCAGGTTGTTCAAGTACTATGCAAGTAGATACAGTTAGCAGTAGTTTTGGTTTACGCCCCTCATCTGCATCGTCTGGCAAGGCCTTGCATGACTGCTCAATACACCCCTGTCCCAGATGGAACCCGTCATGTATCAAAAAAGCAGTGGACGCTCAAGAGCACCTCCCCTGTTTTGCTATATGTATCTTCTGCACCTTCAGGGCGTCAGTGGTCTCAGCTTTCATATATAAAGCCGCAAGGCAAGTGGCTCTGCCAGAGCCAGCATGGGGTTCAGGTGCCCGGCATCCTCTGTACAGAAGAAGGCTGCCACTTTGCGGTCCTGGCTTCAAAGGCATAGGCGCAGCAAGGGAGCCGGGGAAACCTAAGGACCTTCGGATAAAGTCCAAAAGGGCAGTTCTAAAACCCAGGGTTCTCAAATACACGCGTGGCCAGCCACACGTGTGCAATTGTCGGAAAATCAAGATATGCTAGACACTGGAAGTCAGCTGCATGAGCTCAACCCTCGGCAGTTCAGGTGTTTGACATTGTGACATGAGGCTAGCACGTACGACAAGCAACCAGCTGTCAGCTTTTCTTTCGTGGACAATTTGGGACTATGAATCTTCCATTAAGAGCAGGCACATTGCACCGCGCGCCTCAGGTGCGTCCACAGGGACGGCCCTGGGAACAGATTGCTTCCTTAGTATCAGTAGGAAGGATCCCTGACGTTTTTTCTTAGTCGCTGATTGTTTTTTTTTAGAATTTGCCTTGGCTTTCTGAAGGCTGCAGCACCCTTTTCAATTGCCATTGTCCTTTAGTTTCGTGCTTTGGTGATGATTGCCAGTGTCATTCTGATACTCCTACTGCCTGACTGCTGCTGCCTTTGACACGATTTAGGGGGGGAAGATCAAGCCGACCGGATGTCCGTCAACGAGGAAGCTACGGCTGCCAGTGCACAGCGTCCAGAGGCTTCAAACAGGTTGCAGTCATTTCGTCATCCACGTTCTCCATATTGTTCAGCAGCTCAATTCGTAGTGGCTTTTTTCGAGGACAGTAAATCGGTACCTATCCCTCCTATAAGGCCCCAGACTTCTGCTCTACCCTCACAGAAAGGCATCCTCCACACGGGTAAGAAGTTTTTGGCTCATACCCTGAAGCTGACACAGAACCATTCTCAACCTCCATCTGCAAACTAAACCCACACCGTCCCGTCCCGGATCTGAGCCGTGAACAAACCCATGCTTCCAGCGCGTCTGCCCTTGCGATTCCTCCTGCTGAGCTTTGGACCCTAAACGCTAAATTCACACAAGGCTCAGAAGGCATGTCCGGGCTGCATCGAGGTTATGAACAGATTGCTGCATGAGGACCATGCTGAGTGCTTGAAGGGACCTTTGGGTTCGTCAATTTATATATGTCGGTGCATGTCTACCTTAGGGTGGCGCGCGTATTCGGAAACTAAAAACGCGGATTCGGAAACTAAAAACGCGGATTCGGAAACTAAAAGCGCGGATTCGGAAACTGGAAAACGCGGATTCGGAAACTGGGATTCGGAAACTACTGCGCGCGGATTCGGAAACTGGAAAATCGGATTCGGAAACTAAAAGCGCGGATTCGGAAACTGTAAAGCGCGGATTCGGAAACTGAGAAACGCGGATTCGGAAACTGAGAAACGCGGATTCGGAAACCCAAAAACGCGGATTCGGAAACTATTACGCGCGGATTCAGAAACTACTGCGCACGGATTCGGAAACTACTGCGTGCTGAGAGTTGTAAACTGGAACTGGTAACTTGCAAGATTTCTCTCGCGCAGGGGCTTCCTCAGTGGTCAAAGCAAAGCAAGAGCAACCAGGGTTCAGGCTAGGGTGAGGGAAGGTTTAGGAGTTATGGGTTCGGGCTTAGGGTTTGGGATTTTGGGTTTCGGATTTGGGAGATTTTAACATATGTCTCTACCTGGCTGTCCCTCTGTCACTCCATTCATCATATCGCAGGGTGAAAAGGGGGGGGTGGTTTTAACATATGTCTCTACCTGGCTTTGCCTTTGTCACTCATCTCATGGCAAGGTGAGAAGGGGGGGTGGTGGTTTTAACATATGTCTCTACCTGGCTTTACCTCTGTCACTCCATTCATC